GAACCCCGCACAGTTCACCAGTGGGTCAATCAAGAAATACATTGCCAGGGCTTCATCAAGTGGTTTTTATTCAACCCGGAAGCTCTCCATCAACGGGTCATCTTTTGAACAAACCCAGTTCAGGGAAATGCATCCCCACAGACAAATATTTTACCCGGACCGTCACTACGGGTCACCGTAGGGCCATCCCTTACCGGAACTTCACAAAGTCAAGCCCTCTCCAACAAAGGCCCCCCATCTGGGCCCAATGTGGATCACCTTGAAAAAGCTAGTTCACCAAATGGGGCTTATAGAGACAACCACATGCAAAACTCTTCTTTCCCGTGGGGCCCCTTTTTCAACCACCGGGTCTTTATCTAAAGTGTCCCCCCTGAAAAACCTGGTTTACCAAAATTTATCGTAGAGACATCACATCGCCAAGATCTTATAGTGGGTTTTTTCATCCCAACCGGAAGCTCTCCATCAAGCGGATCATCAAAAAACTGAAACAAACCTAGTTCCCCGGAAATTCCATCACCCATCACCCTTGGAAAAAAACTAGTTCCACCAGGCCCCCCCTTCAAAATTTTACCCGAAAAAACCGTTCCAGGGGGCATCTCCCCCCCAGGAACGGGGTTTTTACCCCCCAAAACCCTTTCCCCAAACCCATCCAACAAAAAAAAAAAAAAAAAAAACCCAAAACCCCGCCCCCCCCCAAAATTGGGTTCCCCAAAACCCCCCCCCCCGGGGGATCACCATCTGAACACCAGTTCCCAGTGGGTCATCTCAGAGACAACCCCCCAGGATCTTCATCAATGGTTCTTCATCTCAACCGGAAAAATCCCATCAGCGGGTCATTCTGAAAACCATTCAGGAAAAGCATACCCTCACGCAATATTTTACCCGGACGTCCTACCGGATCACCGCAGGTCCATCCATTCCCGGAACTCACAAACCAAGCCATTCCAACACAGGCCCCCCACTGGTCACTGTGGATCACCACTGAAAAACAGCAGTTACCAAGTGGGTCATATCGAGACAAAACCTTTCCAGGTCTTCAAGTGGTTTTCTCTCAACCGGAAGCTCCCATCAAACGGATCATCTTTACAACCTAGTTCGGAACTGCATCACCATCACAGACAACTATTCACCAGGACCATCACTACGGGTCACCTAGGGGCCCTTCCATTACCCGGGGAAATTCACAAAGTCAACCCATTCCAACAACAGGCCCCCCTTTGGCCCAAATATGGGCACCATCTGAAACACAGTTCACCCAAATGGGTCTTTTAGAGACAACCACTTGCAAGATCTTCTTCAGTGGGTTTCCAACCCCGGGCTCTTTTCAAAAGGCCCTAAAACCTGGACCAATTTTTCTCAAGAAACATCCCAGGATCTTCACAAGTGGGGCCATCTCAACCGGAAAAAAAAGCCCCTTTTCCCATTTAAAAGGGGGCCCCTCTGAAAACCTAGTTGGAATTTAAAAAAACCAATCCAGACCCCCTTTAAAGTTCACAAAGGAAGGGCTCTTCATCTAAAGTGTCCCCCAACTGAAACACCTGGCTCACCAAGTTCATCGTCAGAGACATCCACCTCGCCAGGATCTTCATCAAGTGGTTCTTCATCCCAACCTGGAAGCTCTCCATCAAGCGGATCATCATCTGAACAACCTAGTTCAGGAAGTGCATCACCATCACAGACAACTAGTTCACAAGGACCAGTCACTACTGGATCACCGTCAGGTCCATCTCCATTACCAGGAACTTCACAAAGCTCAAGCCCATCTCCAACAGGCCCCCCATCTGGTCCAACTAGTGGATCACCATCTGAAACAGCCAGTTCACCAAGTGGGTCATCTTCAGAGACAACCACCTCACAAGCATCTTCATCAAGTGGGACCTCATCTCAACCACTGAGCTCTTCTCCGGTTTCATCAAGTGTTTCAAGCACGCCACTTTCTACAGCCTCCGAACCTTCATCCTCACCAGGTTTGTCATATAATTTTAATTCAGACGTATTTTTGGTTTTATATATCTTTCATGTTAGTATAATTTCATGTTAAATTTACAATCAGTTGTATGATTTGTATTTATATTGCATAAATAAATAGCAAAATGATACTGTATTTTATTGTTTTCAGCAACTCCCTGTGAATATTATACTTCTACTGTGGACCTGTATCCACCTCAGAAAACAAAACCAGGTGTAGCGTCTGCAGGTATTGTTGCTACACCAGCTGAAGACATTGACAAAATTATTGTTGGAAATGGATCACAGATTGCATATATTCTTGTACCGGTCGAGCCAACCGACTCAAATGTAGTAAGTGTCTGTAAATGGTTGATCAGTCTAAGTTTGCATGTCTGTATAGGGGTAAGAAATAGACGGAATGCTAAGTAACTTATACTTTAGTAATTTTTAGGATCTTTATAATTTGTTAACCCCTTCACACCCCAAACCTTTTGAGAAATTGGCCAGGAACATACAGGAAGACATAATGTCCTAAAAATAATCATGGAATTAACGTTTAACTCAGGTTGCTAGCACATCTTAAACAAAAACTATTTTTTAACTGCATGTGATAAAAAATATTTCATAAATATATGAAAGTAATCAATAAACATGTATTTATAAAATTAAATGCAAAACATTCCCAATGCCCTTAAAAATATATATCATATGTCTCAAGGCATGACCCCTTGATCTCTATAGGAAAACTTTGAGGTCAACATGGCTTTTAAAAAGCCATTTAGGCATGAGAAAACCCCCTGAATACTATTTTAGTAAATATGTTTGTATCTGGGCCTACTAAATGATGTGCAGGTGCAGACAGAACAAATTACATTTTACTATGCTTCTTGGAAACAAGAAGCCTGCTGTTGCAGGCAGGCAGGTTTTGCGGCCTTTACAGGAATGTGGCAACAACAGAAAAGCCTGTATGTGGCTTCCTGTAGGAAAAAAAATTTAATTTATGTTTCATGCCTCTCGTCTGCTTTGGTAAAGAAATTATCTACACAGTTTATATGTGACTACTGAAATGTTGCGGATCCAGCAGATAATCCTCAAAGTGAAGTGACATTTATGCAGCAAGTGTGAAGAAAGTCATTGACCAGGATTGAAATAAAATGTGACATCTGAAGAATTAGCAAACATTGTAAAACAAAGTGAAAGAAAAACTGATAGAATATTAAACAGCAGAGGAAACATAAAAAACAATGTGTCTATTGAGTTCTGTGCCTTTTAACAGGTGATCACGTATAAATTTATGTTGAAAAAACAATTGCCCAAAAATGTTAGTGAGAAAATATGTTGACAGTTCTAGTTCACAGTTTATTTTTGTAATCCACAATCCACAATCCAAAGCATAAAATAATGAAGAAAAGTAGCATAAAACTAATTCGTAATATAATGCTTTCTTAAATTTGTTTCAGCCTGACAAAGTTACAACACTTGCTGTAGTAATTACTGTGGGTAAGTATTTTAGAAAATAACCTCATTTAAATAATGTGGACACAAACATTACACAATTTATTGCCAGGCATATTTTGCTGTTTCTCGCGGGTTCGTTACTACAGACTTACATAAACAAAAAATATGCATCACATGGTCTCATAATGCTTTGTCCAATCACTAGAAGTTCATGGTAGTCATGTGACTTACCATGGTAACTTCAAATTTATATTGAACTCTTTCTATTTTAAATAAGGGCACATTATTTATTTTTACTGTTAAAGCTTTGGCTATTTTCAGTAATAATCTTATTACTTTTGTTACTGATTTTTCGGTCTTAAAAATAAACATTCAGAGGAGTTTTACATTTACTATTCTTTATTATATAGTCTATGTTTTTCCTGCCTCTTCCTCTTGTCCTAACATTTATCAGTTTGCAATGTTCAAAAACTGGATTACCTACTTCTTTGGTAATTTGTAACTGGTAAAGATGTGTATTTCCAGTTCCCAATTTTATTAGTTCGTGTGTTTTTCTGACTGTGGTTCATCACCTTTTTTTTCTTCTGACATATTGTTATAATTCCTAATCTACACCGTCAAAGGTAAGGAGGAAGGTGAAGATGGATAAAAGAAGCCACTAAAACCAACAGAAAAATATCAACAAAATAGCTTCACAAATTGTGTTGCTGTCTGGGGGACAAATAAATTCAAGCAAATAAGAGAAAATGACCGGTGAATTTGTCAAAGAATGGTAGCTGCAATAGTTCATAGTTATACAGGAATAATTCTACTGTCAGTTCTTGGAGAAGATATAACTTTCTGAGGAGATTAAATGATACCATTGACAAATATCTTAGAGATGGATTTGTAAGTGGTTTTTTTACCAAACAGATCTGTACTAGTCAGACAGGCACATTGCACATAACAATAAAAAAAAATTTTAAAACATTGAGCTCAAAACGCCACTTTGTAATTTGATAAAAGTAATCTGGATTCTTTTTGGAATATTCTGTTCCATAGTTGTTGTTGTTTTTTTTAGTTGGCTTACAAAGATTATGTTTCTTGTTGACCTACCACTTTGAACTCTCATTGTCATTTTGGCTGTAGATAGTAGTCAGCACTCTAGTCTTGTTTTGCTTTTGCAAAAATGTTGCCAACAATATTCCCTAAAGTGATACCCAGTTCATTATTGCAGTCACTTTTGCTACCTTTGTATCCTCATCATCACATACCCTACTGACTGATCCATTCATCATCACCTCTCTCGGCCTGCCTATTCCTCTTCTACTGTTGATTTTCCCATATATACTTTGTATACTTATATTCAAAATGTATAACCTACAAGATTCCTACAAGCTTATATCTAGTTCAACAAGTGCCTTGCCATCTGGCATGGTTGATCATTCTTCTCCATATCTTGTGATCTCCAGCAGGCCTGAATTCATTCTCTGACACCTTTCCATGCCATGACAAAAGTTGCCAGAAATATCTGTTATTGTTTGTTATCTCTTGTTCCATAAATGCTTCCAGCTGAGCAACATGTTCGAGTTTCTCTTTTCATAGTGTTGCCCAAAGAAAATATGATAGTAATTGAATTACTCATTTTGATTGTCCAAGGAATTATAAACATGCTTCTCAAACACAATATCTCTGAGATTGTTTTAAATATATATATATATATATATATATATATATATATATATATATATATATATATATATATATATATATATATATATATATATATATATATATATATATATATATATATATATATATATATATATATATATATATATATCAAATGCAGTTGCTGTTAACTGTATTTTTTTTTTTTCAGTAAACGGAAACCAAATTCCACAGAACTTAACAGATTTCACTGGTAAGATGTGTGTGTATGTGTGCGCGCTCACATAAACGTTCATAAGTTTTGTAAACTCAAGTAAATACTCACCTAATAGCTTGAGGTTTACTTTATTTACTGTGCCAGCACCATATGTTTCTTGATGATTGGCATTCACTGGCTAACATGGCTGGTGCCACCTCAGCCCCAGCAACTTCACAGAAGCTGAGATTTCGAAATTTAGTGTTCAAACAGGGTAATGAAGTCATTTATACAGATAAATGTGTTGTTTAACACCTGTTAGATTCAAATTTTGTACGGCTCAGGCCAGAACGGAAAACTGGCAGACTAGTTGAAAGTGGACAAGCAATAGATCACGTTGAATAATTGAATACCACTCAAGTCTCAGAAAAATATTATCTATGAAGTGATAATGTTAATCTGGAATATTTAGACTGCAGAATTAAGTAGTCAAAAGGATTCAAGCAAGAAAAGTGCGCTTTCTGTGAGCTAAGGAAGAATAGGAAGTAAATCCAGAACTAATGTCACCAGTACTGACGATGCCACAGGTTGAATTAATTTTTTTCAGCACTATATGCTACATTTACAGAGAACATTACAGTATAATTTGCCCTCTGCTAAGTCAAAGACCTACTGATGGACATAGAAGACACTCTCTGTTGAGGTGGTGACTTCACAAGTAAAGCCAAAGTGGCTTTAGAAAAAGGATTATAGAACAATTAAGATGGACACTGACAGATAATAAAATATCAGTAACACAACACTTGAAGAATATTACAAATAATGAAATATAGTGAAATAATAAGAAAGAAACTCTTTAATTAAGTCACTGATTTGTTCAAATGCTTTTAATTTTGAATTATGTCACCAAAAATTGCATTTTCTGATTTTTGGGGAGCAGCTTAACATTCAGCTTAGCTCATTTTCTTGTTCTTTCAACTGCTGGTTCAGCCACCACTGATTCACATACAAGATCTTGACTTTTCAAGGCCAGGCTCAACAATCAAACATCTACCTGGGAAAAAATATCACATTGTGAAAATATCTGGATTTCCCTTCTCTTCAAAGACCATCCTGCATTCAGTTAAATCTATTACTGCATACTCTCATACATCACATGGGGTAGCCTCCTTGTGTCGGTTCTGGGGCTTTGGGTGGGGAACAGAAAAATAGACCCACAGTCTCCCAACAAGCATGTCATAGGAGTTGACTAATTTGGGGCTTCTTTCAAAGTCAGAATGCATCTTCATGAGAGGCAAGAAACCAACAGTCTGCATAGAAATAAGCCAGATCTGTAAAATGTGCATGCAACAATAAGGTTTGACAACAAGACTAAAGTCTAGTGTGCACGAAAACTAGAACTTTCCGCCAAAGTTTACAGATGGTGGATGTGGAGAAGAAAGGATAACTTTGCACCTTGAGTGTCCGATTTATAATAATTTCAAACACTCTTATATGTAACATGAATAAACGAGCTGCATCAGTAAATAAATGATATAGTAATATGTTTAAATATATAAATTTGTAACATTAATAGCTCCTACATTTGCAGGGGGAATAGCATTGTTTGCCTAGCGGATTCATATATGGTAAAGAATTTAGCGCAAATGAGACAGTAGAAGAAGCTCTAGTAGCCATATATTACATTAAGTGGTATTCATTAACTTACCCCTGGCAAGGATTTATATCATAAAATCACAAAGGTTGATGTAGGTTAATACTGACTATCTAGCTGACCACATACTGGTGATGAGAATCGGGCCATTTTTATGAAAACTAGTTTATGTTGCCAAAAAACAGCATGGAAAAAAAAGACCAAAAATAGCTAAGAGGTGTGTTTTCCTGTTGTAGCAGTAAAATAAAAAATTATAAGTATTTTCTGTGACCTGCCTTTAGGCAAATTCTTCAGCGTTACACATTGCTCATATATCCAAACTGGTTTGCTATTTAAGAAAACTCTAGTTGCCCTTACAGTGTCGTTATTTACTCACACACACAAAAAAAAAATGAAGACAGGCTCTGAAGACACTTCATGACAAATGATATACTTAGGAAAGATGTGTGAACACTTATGCAGGGAGGATGATTTGTTAACTAATTTGTGTATACATATCCATGTTACTGATGGTTTCTTATTAAGTAAATAAGTATGCGCAATGACAATGCTGAAATGCTGTTAAAATGAATTTTCCACAGCTAAGATGTAGAAAAATCCATTGCTGAAGAACCAAAAAGTCTGTTGAAATCTGATCCTCCTCCAGCCTCCCCCACCCCCCCCCCCCCACCCCTCAAACCCCCTTTCCACCAACGATTTTTTCCACCCTAACCATTCACACCTCCTACCTTTGTAAAATTGTTAATGTTTAGTATGTTTGTGTCATTATTTGACCTGTGCCTGGTAAATGTAACTTTTTAGTGTGTAGCGACACCAGTTTTGTGTTGGTTTATTATTATTCTTTGGTTACCCGCCTAGTGTTCTTGTTTGGCCACACCCCGTTTAACTTGCTGTTCTTGCAGTCTGACCATGGTTGCAGATTCACAGTTCTCAGTTTGTTCACGCAAAATGTCTTAATTCTCGTAGAGCATTCAGTATGTCAGCCTGGTCCATGGCTTGTCCCGCTTTCACAGAAGCCTTACCTGCAAGTCTATCAGCTTGTGATCATTTCCTTGTACCCCCATATGTCCTGGATTCCAGCCTATAGGGGACACCATCATATAGCCGGATGTGACTAAAGGAGGCTATATTTTATTATGAGATTTATTTTTGAAGAACTTTAAAAATGGATCAGAATTGCACACACATAAGGTGTCTCCTTTAGATGTGTTTCTATCTCATCATACTTGTTACTCCACTGAGGTGCTATCATTGGGAGGTCCTTGGCAATGAAAGACCTGATAAACTAGGAAAGGGAAGTGCAAACAAAGAACAGCCTGATATACCAATCTCTTATTAACAGAAGAAGAGAATAATCAAATCAGTCAGAAAGCAACCAAAACTGGCACAAGACAGTTATCAAATTATGGGCAGCCCAGAGCAAGTCATTATTCTACACCTTAGAACAGAGCACAGTCTATTTAGCCACTACACGTACAAAAAATTTAAGATTGGCAAATTAATCATGAACTCACGTGGACTGACACCTGAGACAACAGATCACATCCTCCAAGACTGTCCCAGATACAACATTTCCAGGTAAAACTTCTGACCAAGAAAGACACGTGTGGAAGCCAAAATTTATGGCTGGCTAAGTGAATTACAAATGACAGTGAAGTTTATATTAAAGAGGGCATTGCAGATATAGATAATTTCTTTCAAGCAAACGAAAGAAGACGAAAATTATGAGGTCCAGATTGCAGCCCCAGTGTTTCTTTTGTAGAGTGTGTCTTCATATATGAACATTTTACTTTTTATGAATACCAGTCATTATCTACATATTTATTATTTCACCAGATGAGAAGAATGCTGACACATACCTACTGCCAATAGACAATGGATACCTATATGTTGCTGTGTTCAATGGCAAAACATCAGAAGTAAAAGGATACAAAATATACACTGTTGAGGTTGGTATCTACAAATATTTCACTGTGGTGGCTGACATTTCCTTGACATTAAATTGTATATATTATTGTTTCCTGTTTCAACATTACTTTAACCCCTTACCCCCCGAATTCCTATTTTAAAAATCTTCCATACCATGATTTCCAGAGAATGCTGGGTAATTGAATAGAAGTTTTAATTACAGTCCCTTGAATCTTATTTAAAAGTCCCAAGAGCCTTTAAATCTGCATCACTAATGGCTTCCCTTAATAATACACTGGCTACCCACTGGATAATCTCATGTGTGTATATGTGTGTGTTTGTGTATATATATATATATATATATATATATATATATATATATATATATATATATATATATATATATATATATATATATATATATATATATATATATATATATATATATATATATATATATATATATATATATATATATGTATATATATATGCATGTACACCTTTGAACGTCAAACTTAAAAATCAGTGGTAACTTGTGAACACACTCTGTCATGGATTTGGTCGTGACAATGCCGGCCTTTTTTTTAAAAATGCCTTGGCTCCCAAGTCAATCCAGCCTTAAGTTGGTACCAGACAGAGTCCAGGGAAGTAAAGGTGGCCGGCATGATGTTGACCACATCACCTACCGAGTGCTGATTGATCTAAAAATATAGATCTAGCCCTGTATGCCCAATACGCATTAAAAGTGTGGAAAAGTTTTTTACTTTACTTTACTTACTTCTGAACAGAACACCTGAAAGTATGGCTGTCTTTGTTCTTGCAATTGATAAAACTCATAACACCCAGGTTGTTAAATGTCGTTTTTAAATACAACAGATCATGATGACACCAGCCAATGACTTAATATCCATCACACTACGGGCAGTCTAAATCAGCCAGCCTCATACCCTTAGTGGCTATTTTTAGTAAATATAATCATAATCAGCCCATCCAAACGCTAAACAGTTGCACATATAAAAAAATGAATCGGAATTAGAAATCTTCGTTTGCTGTTGAAGATGGAGACGGAGTGCATATGGGAGTGTTCCGAATGATATGATATAGATAATAATTCAACATTAAACAAATAAAAGGCCTTCTGGGGACAGGCAAATACGATAAAATCAAACCAGCTAATTCTCAAGGATTCGGTAAGAGAATTTCAAAACTGGCACTGAATGGTGCTTGGTATTGTGCTGACTTCCGGGTACTCATTGTAGACTGGGTCCACTTGAGATCAGAGAACAGTTTTGTTTTTTCAAATCTGTCCACAAAGCTCATGAACTTGCAATCAAGATACAGCTGGCATCGTCAGTATCTGAATTTTTTTTGTGTGTGGGTTTGCTGCTGAGGAAGGGGACAGTGCATGTGAGGGAATGTCATGGATGAAATAATGTAAATTCTTGATTCTGTCATTCTTTCATTTTTTGGGGTTTCAGCCTTGTTGTTTGAGTAATATGTTTTTCTTATGTTATTACAAACTAAACAATTAGGTGAACATTATCATGGTCAAAATTGTTTTAATTCATTACAGGAACTGGGTTCATTGGAAAACTTCAATCTTCAAGACTATATAATTATACTTACAACTAATAATACACCTGTGACGGTTAAAAAGTGTTCAGGTGAGTAGTAAAACATTGTTTTTTATTTTTTTTTATTAAGAGAAGTGGATTTAAAATACCAATCAAAATGAAAACTGCAGAAAAGATCTAACTTTCGTTGTTGCTTAAATTACACTGTTTGGACAGCAGAATATGGTTCTTCTAAAAATTATTTTAAAATATGTCTTAAACACTATACATTTAATATATACATGCAGCTTTGATAATCTCATTTCAATGATGAGCCGGGAAAGGGGAGGGGGGGGGGGGGTGACATTTGTACTTGAAATTTAGCGCATAAAAATACTGCTATGAAACATACACATGTCATACATAACATAAATATAAATGATTGATGGTTATTATTATTTTTAGTAGACCACTACAATATATAATTATACTGTTATTCAATAATTAGTAAACAAGCACAATCAGTATGAAATTGATATGTGCAATACTTTTTTCACCCAGAGTAGCTTAACAGTACTTATAGCACTACTAAATGTGTATCCTCAAGGTACAAACAGCAAAAACAAATTTGTCCAGTTTCATCTTGTTTAATGAAATCAATTCCTTATTATTGCGAATTTTTCGGTAACTGTTTATAAATACATCACACATATTTCTAATTACTGCATGCAACAACACGTATAAGTATCATGAATGGTATATTATTTTTAAAGTAATTAAAGCAAATTAAAAAAAGACCATATAACTACAAATTGCTGAGCAACATACACATATCAAACACAAAAATCCCCATATAGATAGATACCTTATCTCGTTGTTCAAAACTGTCTGGAACAAGACTAAAGCACAGAATAAGATGAACAGCCAGAAGTTTCTGCCAGAGTTTACAGCCATTGTTCGAGAAGCAAAAGCCAATTTACACAAATTAACACAGACGGTACAACTGCAAATATGCATAAGAAGTCGATGAACAACCAGAAGTTTCCGCACGAGTTTACAGCCAGTGTTTGCGAAGCAAAAGCCAATTTACAAAAATTAACACAGACCGTACAACTGCAAATATGCATAAGAAGTGGATGAGCAAACAGAAGTTTCCGCAAGAGTTTAAAGCCAGTGTTCGCGAAGCAAAAGCCAGTTTACAAAAGTTAACACAGACCGTACAACTGCAAATATGCATAAGAAATGGATGAACAACCAGAAGTTTCCACAAGAGTTTACAGCCATTGTTTGCGAAGCAAAAGTCAAATGGTTAAGGATTAATATTATTAGTGTACTTCTACAACATATAATTATACTGTTAAGTCAACAATTAGTAAAGAGGGAAAGAGGGACTTGCTGTGAGAGGTTAGTTAGTAAATATTGTTTTTATCCACATACCCAGAGCTCCGAAATATCTTGACACAATTTATCCACAGTGTAGTTGCACCATTTATGCAAAATCAATATGAAAGCAATAGTTTTCTTCCAACACAAAATAGTTTGCACCTGATAACTGTAGATATTCTCCAGATCTGGCTTCTAAATTACCTGTTTGTATTTTCCCCAAAAGTAAGTTTTCCACATTCAAAGTAGAAAAAGAATAAACAGCCAGTTCCCAAAAATCCAAACTACTGACTAGAAACAGTGACACACACATCACAACACGACTGTCTCTTGTGAATTTAAATCACTGTAATCTAACAGCAACGTTTGAAAATCTTGTATATCTACTTCACAATATCCACTTGTAGATTTGTAATACGAATTCATTCAGAACACAGAACTTTGCAAGCACATTAAAGTGTCTCACAATGCAACACATGGAAAGGGCTTACACTAACCAGTTTTCGAACGACTCCATCCAAAAAGTCACGTGATTTAGTTAGATGGCGTAATCTAGAGAAGGCGGTGGTATTTATGTATATGTATGTGAGTTGATTGATGTGTGTGTGGGTATGTACACGTGTGAGTGTGCCTTGCATATTACCACCCATTCTTTTGTGGGTTTTTTCTTGACAGTCATAATATGCATATTATTATATGAAAATAGCATGCTTTATTGATAAAATACAACTGCTGTGTGAAAGATTGATGTTGGAAAGGGCCGAATGTAAGATGAGCCTGTGTGCCCTATTTATTACCCTTCGAAAATAAAGTTTGTTCTTTCAGTATCACCTTCACAGCAGTCTCAATTTTTTTAGACTGTTTTCAAATGTCCATACCTTTTCACACAACTAAAAAGGTGAATGGTAAATAGCAAATGTCGGCACTCTTCCGAATACCGTTCCCAAATTATTGACTGTCCAAAACATCCCTTTTAGAGCCTCAAAGGGTTCATATGGAACACGAACAACAAAATATGGAACAATACGTACCAATAATGCCGTGAAATAATTGAGGCCCTCATCATCAGTTTCCACATCTGCTCAATGTTTAAAGTTAAGCAGCGTGGGGAGAAAAAGTTTTCGATCCACTGAAGTGACGTGGGGAAGAATAATTTTTGACCCTTTCAGCATCGTGGGGAGAAATAGTTTTCGATCCACTGAAGTGACGTGGGGAGGAATAATTTTTGACCCTTTCAGCATCGTGGGGAGAAATAGTTTTCGATCCACTGAAGTGACTTGGGGAGGAATAATTTTCGATCCACTGAAGTGCTGTGTCAGCGTTATTATACTATAGACCTACCTAGCAATAGGTGTTTCGTCCTTTTTAGGATGAAATTTTTTGTTATTTGAAGCCCCACCGTGGCTTTTGCAGGCCATAAATATGGCCAATTGTCTGAACGCGGTTTCTGGGACCTCTCCATGGCGATCCTCATCCACATGGTGGCACTTTGTGTCATCAGGTGTTTATCGCTTTTGTGATGTTCTGGTGGGGTAGAAAGTCAGTCAGTCATTGCTGTGTCGATGGGTAGCAACGTTTAGATCATCATCATCAGTTTTCACTTCTGCCGCTAAGCGCCGTGACATAATAATTGAGGCCATCATCATCAGTTTCCACTTCTGCGCAATGTTTAAAGTGTTCCTGTTCCATATTTTTCACTACATGACCTCTCAAGTCCCTAACTACGACTTCTTGAGGCCCTAAATGGGATTTTTTTGTCTTTAAATAATTTAGGACCGTTATTCGGAAGAGTGCCGCAAATGTCTTTTGCATCATGTTTGTAAGACAATATCAAATTTTTTTCGTTCAAATTCAAATTGTCATACGCATAATCAAAACTAGACAATATACAAGTAATAGTGTGCAGGTAACCATCAGTTCCTGGGGACCACAGTGCTTTGTCACTAGATTATGAAGCAGAATCTGCTGTGACTGTAAAGTCCAATGCGGGAGTGGCAGTTCTACCACATAATCTATATATTAGATGAAAACTAAAAGTTGTTCCAGCATAAGTAAAGAAATATCAGTGCTAACTCTTAGATTGCGAGAGGGTATTGTTGTATCAGAGGAGCGGAAAAGGGGGGGGGGGGGGGGGGGGGTGACATTTGTACTTTATCAAATTTAGTGCATACAAATACTGCTATGAAACATACACATATCATAATAACATAAATATAAATAATTGATGGTTATTATTATTATTAGTAGACTACTACAACATATAATTATACTGTTATTTAATAATTAGTAAACAAGCACAATCAGTATGAAATTGATATGTGCAATACTTTTTTCACCCAGAGTAGTTTTCTTAGCAGTACTTATAGCACTAAATATGTATCCTCAAGATACAAACAGCACAAACAAATTTGTCCAGTTTCATCTTGTTGGATGAAATCAATTCCTTACCATTGCGAATTTTTTAGTAACAAATATGCATAGGAAGTGGATAAACAACCAAAAGTTTCCGCAACAGTTTACAGCCAGTGTTCACGAAGCAAAGCAAAAGCCAGTTTACAAAAATTAACACAGACCGTAGAACTGCAAATATGCAAAAGAAGTCGATGAACTACCAGAAGTTTCCGCAAGAGTTTACAGCCAGTGCTCGTGAAGCAAAGCAAAAGCCAGTTTACAAAAATTAACAGACTGTAGAACTGCAAATATGCAAAAGAAGTGGATAAACTACCAGAAGTTTCCACAAGAGTTTACAGCCAGTGTTCACGAAGCATAAGTCAAATGGTTAAGGATTAATATTATTAGTGTACTGCTACAACATCTAATTATACTGTTAGTCAACAATTAGTAAAGAGGCAAAGAGTGACTTGCTGTGAGAGGTTAGTTAGTAAATTAAATATTATTTTCATCCACTTACCTAGAGCTCCGAAATATCTTGACACAATTTATCCACAGTACAATATCTGCTTGTAGATTTGTAATACGAATACGTTTAGAACACAGGACTTTGTAAACATATTAAGATGTCACACAATGCACATGGAAACGATGCCAGTAACCTATTTTCGAGGGGGACTCCCCAAAAATGTACCGTGGTTCAGTTGGAAGGACTAAAAGATACAGCTGGACGTGATAAAAACATTAGTGTTCTGTTATGCTGAGACTGGTCTTCTTTCAACGTCTCCTCTCTATAGATTGCTGCATTTAGCCTTTTGTAAAGTGTGATTTGAGAGCCTGGGCACTTAAACTAATGTACAACCAACAGCTCATGGTTATAAAATGCTAATGCCTGTTATTTGGTTTGAGGGGGGGGGGATGGCTTACCACATGCATCCCCATCACTTGCATTTTGTTAGGACTAATAGCGGATGGCGGTGTCCGTGGCTAAGGCGTTGCGAGTCAGACTCGTGAGCCAGCATACCGCGATCGAAACCCACTGCAGGCTGCGTGGATTTTTGTCGCGGTATGGGACGTCGCAGGTCGACCCAGCCTAAAATGGGTACCAGGATGGGCTGTCCTGGGAAAGTAAAGACAGCCGGCGTAATGCTGACCACATTACCCACAGAGTGCTGATGGTCTGTAAAAATATGGGACGCTCTGCCCATATGCCCGATGCGCCAAAAGGCGTGAAAAGAGATCTTTGCTTTTTACTTACTTAATAGCGGATGGAGTAAAGGCTGTTATCCAGGTAGCAGGTTCTCCCTGATAAAGCCAAGGGAAGGGCAGGTGCTAAT